CTGAGAAAAGAGTTTGAAGACTTGAACATATTGTGTATTTTTAATTCCTTCAGTTTTTATGTGTTTTGAGCTATGTTGTTGGTTACTTCCATATTAACAATGGTTATATGATCTTGATAAATCAATCCTTTTATCTTTATGAAATGTCTACTTGTCCTGATAAATTTCCTTGCTTTTTAGACTAATTTATGTAATATTGATAGAGTTATTTCAATTTTCTTTTGAAAGTGATATATCTTTTTCCATTTTTTAATTTTTAACTTTATCATTCTATTTAAAGTAAGTTTGTTATATAGACTATAGTTAGTGTATACTTTCTTAAGTGCTTAGTCCATTTATATTTAATTTAAATATATATTCATATGTAGGTCCTTTTAATTTCTTTCCTATTTATACCTTATATTTCCTTAATCTATTTCCCTTTTGCTGTCTTCTGTTGGTTGAATTGATAATTTTCTGGAACTATATTTTTTAAATTATTCATTTAATTTAGTCATTTATCAGAATTACATTTTAACTTAAAATGTGCATCTACATTTTGTCCTTTTAGTTTATCTATTGGGTTTTTATTATATCTTATTATACACATATATACTTTAGTTGGTTATACTAGGAATTGCAGTATTTGTTTTTTTAATTGCTTTTATTTTTAAATACATGATAGCAGAATGCATCACAATTCTTATTACACATATAGAACACAATTTTTCATATTTCTGATTGTATATAAAGTATGTTCACACCAATTCACGTCTTCATACATGTACTTTGGATAATGATGTCCATCACATTCCACCATCATTGCTAACCCCATGCTGTCTTCCTTCCCCTCCCACCACTCTGCCCTATCTAGAGTTCATCTATTTCTCCCATGCTCCCTCTCCCTACCTGACTATGAGTCAGTCACTTTATGTCAGAGAAAACATTTGCCATTTGGTTTTTTGGGATTGGCTAACTTCATTTCTTCTCCAGCTGCATCAATTTACCTGAAAATGTCTTGATTTTATTCTCTTGTATTGCTGAGTAATATTCCATTGTGTATATATGCCACATTTTAAATCCATTCATCTACTGAAGGGCATTTAGATTGGTTCCACAGTTTAGCTATTGTGAATTGTGGTGCTATAAACACTGATGTGGCTGTGTCCCTGTAGTATGCTGTTTTTAAGTCCTTTGGTTATAGACTGAGGGGAGGGATAGCTGAGTCAAATGGTGGTTCCATTCCCAATTTTCCAAGGAATCTCCATACTGCTTTCCATATTGGCTGCACCAATTTGCAGTCCCACCAACAATGTATTAGTGTGCCTTTTCCCCACATCCTC